TGTATATGATTTAGACTCAGAAAATTTTTGCATTCAGTTTTAAGTGAAATGTTTCTTGACTGATCTCTTTAGTAGAGTGAAGGGAAAGCAGAATATGTTAGAATACTGGGCTAGGAGACAAAAGTTCAAAATTCTTATCCCAGCTCTGTCACTTAGTATCTCTCTGACCATGGACAAGATTTTACCCTCTCAAGGCCTTGGTTTTCTCATCTGCAAAATGGAAGTAAAAATGCCTTTCCTGTCTGTCTAATGGGGATTCTTCAAAGATTCAACAAGCAAGCATGTATTGGAACATGTTAAAAACATGTCCCCAACTGTGCCTTATGAAGTTTGGATTTTAGACAAGTGAAAATACTTGTCTTTGTCTTTACTGTAAGCTGACTTTAAATCTACTTTTAGCAGTTCTAAATATTATTCTCATTAGTTGAGGAAATATAGAAATGGTAGTTTTTTCTAATGTATCCATATCTTAGAGATGCCCTTCATCCTCCCTTTAAAAACAAGACCTTCAATTTAGACCCAATAATTTGGTATTTCAAAATGTCATTTGGTGTTGAGAGAGAATTGATAAATGATAAGAGTGGATACTGATTTCTTCTACCATAATGATATATTAGTATTCATGAATTAACATAAGGAATATCATCGTAATATTAAGAACATGTCAGGAGTCTAAGTCAATCTGTTGTAGTTTCAAGATCAGGCAAGTTTAACCATTAGAGTTTTGAACATAGATAAGTCTGTGAATATTCCTTATATGGTCACAGATCACTAGCAAGCAGATGAAACATTAAACTGTTATCAACTTTGTTCATTCCTAGTATAATACAACTTTTATTTTTATACTTTATTTCTATTGATGATTTTTACTTTATTGCAACCTTTGTTTTCATTTATTAATAAACTCGTAAAGTAAGAAAGAATAGACTGAGAGGCACAGTCTGCCTCCATTCCTTCTGTTCTTTTTCTAGATTTGAGAAGGTTGAAAAGTCTCCTTGCCCCTCTACAGAAAACATAGCAAAGATAGACACCAGAAATACATGGTTCAGTCACTTTAGGAGATACCAGCTCTGGAGCAGTTGTTAAGGAGTGATCTGCAGCTCTTTTTGGCCATATCTTCTGAATGTAAATTTTCTTTCCTTTGGAGAGAAGGGGGGAAGAAAAGAAATCAGAAAAAATAAAGGCAAAGTTAGGAATCCAGACTCCTTAACCAACTCTCCATTTTCCAACTCCATGCTACTTAATGTCCGTGTTCCCCCATTTACTTTTGAATTATCTGTTACAGTTTCAGAAGCATAGGTGAAGCTTTGGTATCATCCTATAACCTAAGCTGCTTACCTTTATCAGCAACTCAGCAGCCTCAGTAGGAGTATTCATTTAATATCTAAGGTAGGACTTTGGTAGTTCCCCCTTTTCAGGGTTATCTATTAAGTACCCCTGCCTTGATCCAGTTGAACAGATTGGGAGTTTGTCCCTTTGTGCACATTTCTACAACTACCAAATTCTGATCAAAACAAATAGCCACTGAATTCCCACTCTTACTTTGTTCCTCCCTCTTACATACTGAGTCACAAGTCTTTATTTTTAATGTAAATTTTTATTTTTAATAAATAATTGTGTATGTTTATGAGTTTTGAGTACAATGTGATATTTTGATATATGTATACATTGTGGAATGATTATATGAAGCTAATTAACATATCTATCACCTCACATACTTACCATTTTTTGGTATTACATTGCAAAATACAATGTAATACATTCTGGTCTCTTTGCAATAGATCTTGAAAACTTACTCCTCTCACATAACTGGCACTCTGTACCCTTTGGTCAACTTCTTCCCAGCCACCCCTCCACCGTGCACACACCCCCCAGCCTCTAGTAACGTCATTCTACTCTCTACTTTTGTAAGTTTGTGAGTCATAGGTCTTCACTCTGAGGTTCTAGGCGCCTCAGACTTCTGTTTTATCTTCATTTTGGTAGAAACAGGTTAAGAGTAACCTTACTCTTGACTGACATCCCTTCAATTTTAATTTTGTTGTTGTTGTTATACATTTAGCTACCTTTCCTTGCCCTGTATCTACTGATGTGCTTTTCAGGTTATTTTTGTGACCACAGGCCAGTTAACAGCCATTCTGGAAACAATGAGGTTGCTACACCCCAAGCCCCCAAAGCACCCCTTACCTTTCCCTCAACAATACCTTACCCATTGTTATTTAAATTATAGAGTCAGGAAGCCTTTCAGTAGCCCATCCCAGTCACCAAGTGCAAAGATTTCCCCAGTTTAGAGTGTAAAAAGGTTACTACACTTCCCTGAGCATCCTCACACAAGGCTTATTTAAAAGGAAAGAGTACAGCTCAGACAACCATAGAATGTCTGAGAAACATCCCAGCTGCAAAGTCCGCAGGGGCCCTAATTTACACCCAGACCAAGCTGAGTCTGGAATTGATCTCTAGTGCCTTGAAAGAGATGTTTGAGGGTTTTCTATGTTGGTTTGTTAGTTTGTTTTATATTGCATCCTGCTTTTTCAGTGTTGTACAGGGGGAGGGTGGGGCTGAACCCACCTAAGTTATCATTGTCTATAGAGGAAAAGCTCTCAAAATAGCAAACTGTTATTTGTTTTTTAAATAGAGTTATTATTTAGGATAATAAACCTCCTGCCTGCCAGACTACTACATTCTTTGAGGAAAAACATTTGACAATATATATGGGGCAGGGGGCTGGAATTAAACCCCAAAAGTGCTACTCAAATGGAAAGTATTGCCTTTTTTTATTTTTAATGTTTTTAAAAAATCAACTTTGTGGATATATAATTTATATACAATAAAATTTTTCAAAGATTTTAAATCTATAGTTCAATGAAGTATCAAGAAATTGAACATTTCCACAACTCCCCAAAGTTGCCTGTTTCTGCTTTGCAGTTAGTCCCTCCCACCTCCTGCCACAGGCAACCACTTCTCTGATATCTAGCATTATAGATTAGTTGTCCTTCCTTAGAATTTTACATAAGTGGAATTCTTATATATGTATGTAAAGTATATCTGGATTTATTAGCTCATCAAAATGATTTACAAATGCTCTATTACATGTCTCTGTAGTAAGTTCATTTTTATTGCTGAATAATATTCAATTGTTTCAATATTTGCAAATCAGTTCTCCTTTTGGTGGACGTTGGAGTTAGTTTTTTGGCCATAACAACTAGAGCTGCTTCAAACACTCTTTGATGAGTTTTATTGTGGATATATGTCTTCATTTCTCTTGGGTTAATACCTGCTAGAATAATTTCCGAGTCATATGGTAGGTGCATGTTTACCTTTATAAGAAACCTCCAAATTATGTTCCAAATGGCTACGTCATTCTGCATTCTCACCAGTAAAGTATCAGGACTCCAGTTGTTGTATATCTTCACAATCTCATGTTATTTTTAATCTTTTTAATTTTAGTATCATAATGGGTGTGAAGTGCCATCTTACTGTGGTTTGTATTTGTATGGTCCTTTTGACTAAAGATGTTAAACATCTTCTGATGTACTTATTGTCTATTCCTCCATCTTTAAGTTTTTCTACATAATTTCTTGAATGTAGGTTCTTTTTGTCGTTGAGGTATGAGTTCTCTGTATGTTCTCCATATTATTTCTTTATGAGATATAAATATAGTATTGCAAAAATGCTCTACTAGGTTGCAATTTGCCTTTTCATTTTTAAAATGATGCCTTTGGAAGAACAAATGTCTTAATTTTTATGAAGTCCAATTTTCATTTGTTTCTTCTATAGTTAGTGCTTTTTGTACCTGTCTAAAGAAACCTTTGCTTACTGACTTGATTGTGAAGATATTCTCCTATGTTTTCTTCCAGAACCTTTTTAGCTTTCGCTTTATATTCAGATAGAAAGGCTATATATGTGAACTATTACATTTTTAAAAATCCAATGTTGTCCATGGCTACCCAGGACATTTTAAAATCCTAGTTAAGGTAGATTTTTACTTCACGATGTCTGATTACTTGTTATAAGTTGGACTATAATTCATAATTACATTTCAGTATGTCTTTGTAATGGGGTAAAAGTGCATTCTAACATTAATAAGAAACCTAAATCATGAATAAAATATATTAATATCATTCCAGGATTAGATTCCTTCTCCTTCTCCTTTTACTTTCTACTCCCCTCTTTTTTCCTTCCCTTTCCCTTCTTTCTTTTCTCTTTATCTATCTCTCTCCCTCTCTTCTTCTCTCTCCCTCTCCCCCCATTTTGTTTCTTTCCTCATTCCTTTTTCCTTCCTCCATTTAAAAAAATGTTTTTCCCTTGCTAATGTTATTATATTGTATGGTTTAATAGCTGAGATGTTTTTAGATGGTAAAATATCCCCTAAGTAATCAATTTTTTAGATTAGATAACGGGATGCTCTTTTATAATGGCATATTTCTATCACTGGCCTTGTGCACCCTAGTGATATTATAATTGATGTTTGTTGCTTTATTATACCACAGAAAATTACTTAGAAAAGATATGAGACTACATGAAGAGTCATAGACAGCTGTAACTCATGGCCACTTTATATGTGGCAAAATTAGCTCTTAGTGATATGGTTTGAGTAGAAAAATAATTCTCTAAGATCAAGTGAGAATTAAAAATTTTGCATTGTAAGATGAAACCCTCAAGAAATTATGACAAAACTTTTTTTGAAATGACATATAATAACAGCATAAGCTTTATGGTAGGTAGAAAGTGCATTCTGTCTTCTGATTACGATAATACTGTCATTTTGAATTGTGAGATTTCTGATAGAAGTTTTATGTAATGTGGATTTTAATATCCTATTGTGTAGTAACATTTCCTAAACTTGTTTTACAGCATCTTATGGTTATAACTTCTTAGTGTGCTATTGACTGAGTGGTCTGAATGAAGTATCCCTTTAGGTCTATTTCCCACTGCCTCAAATGCAACTTACAGGAACTGTACTCTTGCTTGTACTAAACAACTATTCTTTTTCTTTTGTGTAGGATAAGAAATGGATTCTCAATCATGAAGATGTCATATTAGGAGAACTACTGGGCAAGGTATGTAATCAACTGAGCAAAATAACCAAAAGTCTCTGTATTGATTGAGAACTCTGCAGATTTTTTCATTTTCTTCAAAGCTTTTCTTAACGTGCATTCCAGCATGCGTGTTACACATTACTACATACGATACGACATCCATTCTAAATACTATGATGTTCACTGAAATATGTGAAAATCTATGAAGGATTTCAGGAGGTTTCTTAACTTTTTAAAATAGTGTATGTGTGTTTTCCCCTGGAGGAACTAAAAGCCATAATCATTTTATTACAGTGCAGTAAAGCCAAACTAGTGAGCTGAGATTTGAAAAGAAACCGAGAGGTAATAAAAGTCTAAATAAACACCTAATAGTGTTGTTTCATTTGTTTCTGGTTATATGTGATAGTTTAGAAAAAATGAAATACTGCTCCTTGGGATTTTAGGATTCTGTATAGAATTGCTGTATATAATAACACTACACATATTTCAATATAAATATTCATGTTGTAACTAGCTCTATTAGTGGTCAGACAAGGCAGCTATATATAAAGTCCATTTTCCAATCTAGCTGGAAGTTTCTTCCAACTCATAGGCTATATGAAAATATATCTAACAATGACAGAAATTTGGTAATCAGATAGACTATTTGAAAATTTATTAATTTTTTTATTTATAATTGAGTTCTAATGAATAAATATTAACTTTTTTTGGTCAATGACTTAATTACTGATGCTTCCATATGAAAGTAGGAATTAAGTTTAGCTTCATGGTGTGATATGAAAAATAGTAAAAAATACATATATTTAGGGAAAGCTAACATACATTTATGAGTGATCAAAACCATATCTAATTAAGGCTCAGCATTTTAGATAAATGATTATTACTTTTTTGATTCATATGTAAACTTGATGAACTGACTATTTTTTAATCTCCATTGAGAAAGTGAGTCTTTGTCAAAATAATCTACTTTGCAGGATTCTTACCACTTATTTAAAAATATCTTTTCTAAATGGAAGCATCAAAGTGCTATTGGAAAACAAATTTTTATTGGCTTATTTAGTAGATAAGTTCTAAAGAACCTCAAGGTAAAAGCAGTAGCTGGTATATTTATTTATTTTGTCATAGTCTCCTCAGTCTTAAGGAAATATTCCTTCTTTTCATTGCACACTAGGTCAGTAACTCAATAGCAGTGATTGAGTCACAAGTTATTACAAAGAAATTAATTTCCATGATAATACAATTAAATGCTAAATTATAAAACTATACTACTTGCTGAAAATATGTTGAAAAGGACAGAATTTTTTAGTACTAAAGAAATAATATTTTCAGTTAAAGAGAAATATTTCAACTATTTTTATGTTTGTAAAGTATGGCTTATCAGGAGAAATTTAGCTTCTTAGTAAGGCTGTTTCAAAGAAGATTTATCTTAATGACAAGCAGCATGTCAATGTCAATAAATCTAATCATTTTAAATAAAAGACTGACTTTAAGAGAGACTATGTAGCTTAATTTCATCGAATATTTTGAGTACTATAAAATGATTTGTCATTTTATATATTTCACTACTGATTTTGAATGAATATTTACAGCTTTAGAATGCATGCGTGATTAAAAGAGAATTAGCCATGGTTCCTATCCTTATGGACTTTGGAGTTGAAAGATAATCACAAGCCAAACCATGTGTTTGAAAGAATAAGGATGCACCTTCACAATAAAAATAAAACAAGAAGTGTCAAAGTGAAATGTCATAGATATCAACTGTCAAACTTAGTTCTTAAGGAAATAGGACATTTCAGATGTAATCATCTTTAGTAATATAGAGCTTAGGGAGTAAAGGAAACTAGGTGGAATGAAACTTACTTCTGACAGCATCAATTTAGGTTTCTCCTTTTATTCTTTTTCAATTTTTTTCCCATTTCTTGTGAATTCTCCTCTAGCCTCAGGCCTCCACACGTGTGTTGTGTATAAAGTTGGAGAACTGGTAAAAGCAACATTACCAATCTTTATTTCCACTCAAAATTCTGAATAAAGCTAACAGAGTGCTTTGATTCACTCAGAACGCTTTGTTACATGCTTTCCTTGTATTTGGCAAAGATTTATGTGCTGTCACATACCCCAAATAATGAATGTATTTCTATTTGCAGGGAAATTTTGGTGAAGTATATAAGGGCACATTAAAGGATAAAACTTTCGTTGCTGTTAAAACATGTAAAGAAGATCTTCCTCAGGAGTTGAAAATAAAATTTTTACAAGAAGCCAAGTGAGTTTTCTAAAGTAATATAAAATTTTTATTTATAATGCAAATGATTCATTAAAATGTGAGTTTGAAGACATGTTAAATTGTGATTTGCTGAAGTAGAAATAAGCACTTTCATTACCCTCATAAGTAAACACTTTAACGACATGCAAACAAAAAGTTTTTGTTTCTGAAGTAGACTGTAGGTTGACTAGGCAATCTAAGTCAAAGAACCAGGCATTAAAAAGCAGTAAGGGCCGGGCGCTGTGGCTCACGCCTGTAATCCTAGCTCTTGGGAGGCCGAGGCGGGCGGATTGCTCAAGGTCAGGAGTTCAAAACCAGCCTGAGCAAGAGCGAGACCCCGTCTCTACTATAAATAGAAAGAAATTAATTGGCCAACTGATACATATATAAAAAATTAGCCGGGCATGGTGGCGCATGCCTGTAGTCCCAGCTACTCGGGAGGCTGAGGCAGAAGGATCACTCAAGCCCAGGAGTTTGAGGTTGCTGTGAGCTAGGCTGACGCCATGGCACTCACTCTAGCCTGGACAACAAAGTGAGACTCTGTCTCAAAAAAAAAAAAAAAGCAGTAAGTATTCTTTATCCTTAAAAACTATAATATTTTTCTTTTATCACACACACATATACACATATGTATATATGCAATACTATGATTGTCTTTATATTAAAAATGTTGCTGTATTACATATATAACATATATACATTTAGATATATAATTATGTCTGCCCTACCCTCCTTAGATATTATGGTTTGATTTCTGTTTTTCCAGTTGTTAGGTTTCTTTTCTGAGAATCTCAAAACTACCCCTCAGCTTAATGTCTGGCATGTATTCCAAAATTTGTGTATTGTTTTTTCTCTAATTGATTTTCTCAGACGGCAGTTTTCTCTTTTTTCTGTCATTAGCTAAAATTTAATATTTTACCTTGCTACCCCTGTGTTGCAGATAGTTAAAACTATTCTATTAGTAGTGAAATTGAGTATATACAACAAAACGCAAAACAAATAGAAAGGTATTTTGGACAGAGTAAACTAAATGGACATATGGGTAGATGAATTCATAGACAGATGAATAAATGAGTGGGAAAGAAGGAGAAGGATAGTTGGATCCATAGATTTTGTGCCATGGGAGAACAGTGCCATGGCAATGAGAGAAATATTCGCAAATCCCATGGTATAGAACATTTTGATGTACATTTCTACATTCATCTAAAATGAATATTGATGGCAATGGATTAAATTAGTTTAATGAACTTAATAAATATCTATAATATAAAGTTGTAAGCCTTTTCCATGTACATTATCAGCAATTCAGAAAAAAATTCTGATGATAAATTAAAAGGCATGCTATCACAATTGAAATTCATAACCTCATTATTTTATAGTTAGACTTTGTCTATGTCTATTATATTTTTTACAGTATTTAAATTTATTGCTTATAAGCTGGTGATTGTTTTATTGTTAACCCAAAGAGTTTAATTTCATAGTTTTATGTTAAAAGTGAAAATTATATTTATACAAACTTCTGAGTGCCCTTTAATAGACTTTAGAGCTATATATTTAGGTTGATTGTTACCTGAGTTTATGCTATTTTGTGTAAATTTCTTTATTGAATAGTTTCTAATTTAAGAAATAACATCTTGGATTAAAGTCAAACATAACTTTATTCCAACTTTCTTTTTAATTTCTAGTAGAAGTTGCAAGCTCAGAGTTATTGATAGAATATATCCTTTATCTTTAGAATTTTCCTCACTGTCTTTTCATTTATGTATCATTTTTTCTATCTAAGACATTTTTCTTTTATCTATCCTTGCTTTAGTTGTACATATGCAAAACATGAATTTTTTTCTTCAAGGTAATTTTTTCATTCTCTTAGGAAAAATTACTATATTTTTCAAATAAGAGTGAATTTATAACTATGTCAATAGGATAATAAGTAATAAATTTGATAATAGAAATAATCAGGACAGATAGGCCTCTGAGGAAATCTAATCTATTTTTATCTCATTCTTAGAGTCCTGTGGATGAGTCTGTCTATTCTATTTTTATAAACCTCTGGTGAAATTTTATCTTATCCAAACTAAGTCTACTTTGCTTTAGCTTAAGTCTGTTGAAACTATTATTCTATTTTTTCCCCTTTTGCCAACTTTCTCAAAACTTCTGTATTTTACTATTTTGAAATTGATCATGATCATCAGAGTATTTAAATACCACAGAATCTAATGAAGTGATTACCCTGTGGCATTTACCAGTAGGAGATAATTTCTTATTTTTAAATGTTTTAAAGTCAAGTATGTGCATTAAAAAAAAAAAAAAAGATGCTACCCTAGCAGCTTACAGTTTTTAGTCCACTAGTAGTTTTCAGCTATACTTTTGTGGTTGTGGCTAAAACCAGATACAACACTTTAAAGAGAATTCTACATGTTTTGGACTGATTAGTTATTCCTGTTTAACATGGTTATTAATCATTCAGAGCAAATAATAATTTCTAAATGAATATTAGTTGAATTAAGGAGAAGTGACTCATTTGCAGCTATGTTATGTTGACAGTATTTATCAATACAGTCAGCCTTTTGTATACGTGGGTTCTGTGTCAATGGATTCAACCAACCACAGATCGAAAATATTCACAGAAAAAAATAGATTATTGCATTTGTACTGAATATGTACAAACTTTCTTGTCATTGTTCCCTAAACAATGTAGTATAACAGCTATTTTCATAGCGGTTACATTGTTTTAGGTATTATAAGCAATCTAGAGATGATTTAAATTATACAGGAATATGTGTGGGTTATATGCAAATACTACACCATTTTTAATAAGAGAGATGAGCATCCATAGATGTTAGTATCCACAGGGGTCCTGGAACCAATCCTGCACAGATAGTGAGGGATAACTGTACTTTTATATATATATATCCCATTTAACATAATTTAGGGTCATACTGAAATTTTAAAAATTGAATTATTAAAGTGTATTCTACTTTTAGACACTATTCATGATCATAAATTAATGCTTTATTATTCAAATGATAATTATTCTTATACTTTTCTCTCATCTAGAATTCTCAAGCAATATGATCATCCCAATATTGTCAAACTTGTAGGAGTTTGCACACAGAGACAGCCTGTCTACATCATTATGGAACTGGTTCCAGGTAATATGATTTGAGAATTTTGCTTGATGACATTTTAATGTCATATTTTATTACTTTTATATGTTCAGTCTCTGATTTCTCCTTGTAAAGTTTCCAAGGATTTTGTTTAACATTTTCCTGATGACAGAGAGCTCATACATATACTCAATATTTTTATAGGCTATAAGACACTGCTGTTTTCTAGAAAATGTCAGCCAACATTTTTTAAGAGATGGATTTATTATTAGAGTGCAGTTCCACATCACATTCAGTTATATGTAATGTTTATGTGTGAAAAGCTGTTTAGGAAAAATCAGTCTACTTAGTTTGACTTTATAACATTGATAGTACTATCTTATATTTAGTTCATTGTATGTCATTTTCCAAGTATATCTCCACACATCCTCTTCTTTGATGGCTATATATAATAATCTCATGGTGCCTTGGCTCACTTATGAATTATGAACAACTTTCATATGTGGACATACGTAATAAAGTCAATCTATCTAGGAAAATGTGCTGGCATTTTTTTCCTGGTGATTTTCAACACCTCCAGGTCTTTGTTATCAACTTTTGATAACAAACAGGGACAACTTCTAACTGATACAGTGTGTTTTTAAAGTTTCTTTTTTTATTCCTCTTTCTGTTGTAGAAAATACAATCAAAAGGTAAAATTAGATCTTACAAGGCTTATAAATATAATATTTAATAACTGAAGGGGATTTGTTTTACCATTACCATTTATTTACTCATTTTAAAGAAATTTAAATGAATATGAAAAATATTTCTAACTTTAATTAAAACACATTAAGCAAATCTAATATTGTAGATTGTTCATTAAATACTGTCTATATAAGTCTTCCAATATTTAGGATTATTGCTCTAGTTTTATTATATTACTTTGCTTGCTCTTTAAATATTTCTTGATATTACTGTATATCTGCAAGATACCTACATCATCACCTTGATCCCCATCAAGATAGCATTATTTCTGTTAGGTGTATTGTACGTTTGAATGATTTCATCATTTATGATCTATATCTTAAAATAACTTTCAATATAGTTATGAAAGTAGAAAGGGTATAGTCCAAATATTTAAAAATAATTGAATAGCCTATAATTATAATTAAAATTTAATTAAAATATTTATACCTTAAAATGTATAAATATTATAAATACATATTAACATTTATAAGGGCACAAATGAAAACTCTGGATAATAAGGAATGCCAGTGAGAAACTTAATAGTTAGGGAGTAGGGCAGACTTGATGAGGAAAGTTGATTTTGGTCTTACCATGATGGTTAAAGGAGCTTAGATGCAAATTCCAGATGGCAAGTCCAAATTGAATAAAGCAAAAGAATATAGCTTCATACAGAGAGGCAAGTGTTTATACACTGACTCGTAACCTCTGTTTATATTTTTTAAATGAATAAGAATAATAAACTTCATTAGAAAATTCAAAATGTAATGAAAGGTAGGAAAATTCAAAATGAAAACCTCTCAAAAATACAATTGTATTTCAAAGCTAATTGTCATTTACAGTTTTTGGTTTTTTCCCAGAAAAATGTTTAATGCAGGTACCTTAATTTTATGCAAATGTTTTAACCTTAATTATGAGAAAAATTATAACAGTATTTCAGATCTTGCTTTTTTAAAAATTAATGCAGCATGCAATGGTGTCATTGTTTTATGGTCATCCATATAGTTCTACCTTTTATATTTTGTAATGGCACAGAACATTCCCTTTTGTAGATTTACATAATTTATCCAACCAGTCCTTTATTTATGGATACTTTGGTCATTTCCATTTTTATTATTTGATTTTACAAACAATGCTCAATGACTATCCTTGGACTCATTGCAAGAATCATTGGGAAGTATGTCTGTAGAGTAAAAATTCAGCAGTGGGATTGTGAATCTGAGTTTATATATATTTTAATTCATGGTAAATGTATTAGGTTTCTATTGCTACATAACTAATTATCACAGCCTAAGGACTTAAAACAATTCCCATGACCTTACAGTTGTGGCGGTTAGAAATCATGACGGGCTAGACTGGATTCTTTGCTCAGGGTCTCATAAAACCCAAATTTGGTTCGGCTAAGCTCTTATCTGTAGGCTCTAGGGAAGAATCCACTCCCAGGCTCATTAAGTTGTGGGTAGAATCCCGTTCCTTACAGCTGTAAGTCTGAGGTCCTCATTTCTTTGCCTGCTGTCACATGGGGGCATCTCTCAGCTCCTTAAAGTTGCCTGCGTGCCTTTTCACATGATCTCTCCATCTTCAAAGCTGGCCCTGGCATGTCACATCCTTCAAGTGTATTGAATTTCTCTGACTTCCTCTCCTGTTACCAGATGGAGACTCCTCTCTGCTTTTAAAAGGGTTCATATGATTAGATCAGGGCCACCTGGATAATCTCCTTATTTTAAGGTCACCTGTGCCATAAATGACAGATATTATGAAAGTGGTATCTATTCATGTTCATAGGATCCAGGAATTAGAGTGGTACATCTTTGGAAAGCCATATTCAAATTCTACTAACCACAGTAGATTTTGCTAAATTTTCTTAAAGGCTAGTTGAAGTGTAGAATATGAAACCTTCTCACTGAACTTTTCATACTCTGTTACATTAAATCCATTAGTTGATCTTACAATTTGAATTCATCTTTTAACTATACATTATTTCTTAGCATCATGCTTCGGTCATTTGGAAGATATCAGGTCACCAGGTTATAGAGATATTCCAAATAATGACACATTGCATCATACAGTATCAAAAATCACATTCTTTAATGTCACAACTAGTCTCATCAGAAAAGTGTACTAGGCTATCAAGCTCATGGTGGCAGAGATACTTTTTCCAAAATTAAAAAAAAAATTATTATGGGTATATAATAGTTATATATATTTTTTTTATTTCAGCATATTATGGGGGTACAAATGTTAAAGTTACATATATTGCCCATGCCCCCCCGTCAAGTCAGAGCTTCAAGAGTGACCATCCCCCAAACGTTGCACATCTCACTCATTATTTTTGTATATACCCATCCCCTCCACCTGACACCCGATAAATGTTATTCCTAATTGTCCACTTAGGTGTTGATCCATTAATACCAATTTGCTGGTGAGTACATGTGGTGCTTGTTTTTCTATTCTTGAGATACTTCACTTAGTAGAATGGGTTCCAGCTCTATCCAGGAAAATACAAGAGGTGTTATATCACCATTGTTTCTTAAAGCTGAATAGTACTCCAAGGTACACATATACCACATTTTATTAATCCACTCATGTATTGATAGGCACCTGGGTTGTTTCCACAACTTTGCCATTGTGAACTGTGCTGCTATAAACATTAGAGTGCAGGTATCCTTTTTGTAGCGTGTCATTTGATCTTTTGGGTAGATGCCCAGTAGTGGAGTTACTGGATCAAATGGTAGATCTACTTGTATGGCTTGAAGGTATCTCAATATTGCTTTCCACAGAGGCTGAACTAGTTTACAGTCCCACCGGCAGTGTAAGAGTGTTCCTCTCTCTCCGCATCCACACCAACATTTATTGTTTGGGAACTTTTTGATAAAGGCCATTCTTACTGGAGATAAATGATATCTCATTACAGTTTTGATTTGCATTTCCCTCATGATTAGAGATGTTGAGCGTTTTTTCATATGCTTTTTGGCCATTATTCTGTCTTCTTCTGAAAAATTTCTGTTGCTGTCCTTTGCCTACTTTTTAATAGGGTTGTTTGATTTTTCCTTACTGATTTTCCTGTGTTCTAAATAAATTCTAGTTCTCAGCCCTTTATCAGATGTGTAGCTTGCGAAAATTTTCTCCCATTCTATGGGTTGTCTGTTTGCTCTCTTGACAGTTTGTTTGGCTGTGCAGAAGCTTTTTAATTTGATCAGGTCCCATTTGTTTATTTTTGTTGCTGCTGTGATTGCCTTTGGGGTCTTCTTCATAGGGATACAATGAGAATCAAATCAAGGTAATTGAGGCTATCAAGCTCATGGTGGCAGAGATACTTCTTGCATAATTTTTAAAAAATTACTAAAGGTAAAAAATAGTTGTATATCTTTATAGAGTACATGTGATGTTTTGATAAAGACATATAATGTGAATTAATCAAATCAGGGTAATTGGAGTATCTATCATGTCAGGCATTTATTATTGATTTATGTTAGGAACATTCCTATTGTACTCTTTTTAACTAATGCATTCCCTAACTTATTATTGATTATAGGAACATTCCAATTGTCCTCTCTTAACTAAAGTATACCCTAACTTATCATTGATAATAGTTACTTTGTTGTGCTATCAAATACTGTTCATTCTGTCTGTCTGTCTAACTATATTTTGTACCCATTACCCTGTCCCACTTTATCCTCCTCCCCTCCAAAATTTTACTTTTCATTTGAAAGCTCATATTTCATCACTGACAACAAAAATTATCAGGTTTTTTTGAGGAGTCAAGCTTGCTTTATTCATTTTTGAGAAAATATCTGCGAAATATCTAATTTTCAATTAACTTATTGTGATTCCTTCTCTTTTATAAAAACTTTATTAATGTGTAATTGACATACAATAACTGTAGCATGTATAAAGTGTATATGAATGGACATTTGTATACACCTGTCTCAGTCAAGGTACTGAATACATCTATCACCCTCAAATGTTCTCATGCCTCTTTGTAATTCCCTTTTTCTACCTCCTGTCCCACTGAACCACTTATCTGCTTTTTGTCACCATGTATCAGCATACTTAAAACTTTATGGAATCATACAGTAAGTATTCTTCTTTGTGTCTTTTCACTCAGCATAATTATTTTGAGGGTAATGGGTATCAATAGTCTATTCTCTTTATTGCTCAGTAGAATTCCATTTTATGAATATACCTCAGTTTATCCATTCAGTTGTTGGTAGACTTTTGGATTGCTTTCAGTTTGAGGCTATTACAAATGAAGTTTATCATCTATGTACAAGTCTTTATATGGACATATGCTTTCATTTTTATGGGAAACTAGTAGT